AGGATGATCCTCATCAATGTTGAAAACATATCTATAACACTGCATGATATTTTGAATTAATATAAATCATGAATTATAATGTTACAGTTGCATGTGGGCTAATGTGCATTATTCTGACAAGGTCAGAAAACTGTATGATTCAATTATTTCAAGCAAAATCATGGTTTTAGTGTATATGTTTGACAATTCTATATTTACAACCAATGAAGGCAATTGTTTGATACAGAATCTGTCCTAGAAAATATCTATGTAGAGTTATGGATTTAAAATACAATAAATGCAACAAAATATATTTAAAATTCTATTAAAATGCTAAACAGCTTTAAAAAACCCCTTTAACAAAATCTGTCCTTAAGGTACATCTCCTAACACACATACATCAGGTAACTGAAACATAAATGTGACACTGAAGAATATGGACAGGTGAACTGCACTTGCATCTTTCTCATCCTTTTCCGCTCCATCTCCCCCATCTCAGCACATGGTGCTAGGATACAAAAGGTTGTGTCAGCTGCACCCCCACCCCCTTGTGCCATAATTCATATGTTGAGGCCTAATCCTCAATGTGATGGTATCTTAAGGTCGATTCTTTGGGAGGTGACTTGTATCCTTATAAAAGAGAACCCAGAGTGATTCCCTTGCCTTCTGCCATGTGAAGACACATCAGAAACATTTATGAATGAGGAAAACACCCAACACAAAATTTGCAAGCACCTTGATCATGGACGTGGCTTCAAAACTGTAAAAAATAAATTTCTGTTGTTTATAAGTGACCTAGTCTAAGATATTTTTGTTCCAGCGGCCCCCACAGGCTTACGATAGTTGAAGATAAAAACCATGCCATGACACCTGATGCTTGCCTTTCTCTCACATTAAATTTTGTTAGCTCTATGTTCACAATACATATAGAATGTGCTAGTTTTTTTAATGCCCATCATTTCTAGTTTAGATTATTACAATAACACTTAATCTGAAAGTGTTTATTCCTTCAATTGTTCATCCACCCATCTGGCAAACACTACTGGAACAAACCATTCAAACCAGACACTGTCTGGGTTCTTTAGTACACAGGAAATTGTCTTTCTGGCCTTTACAAAAGGAATAACTCTTACCCATCCTGGATCTTACTATAGTGCACTGTCCCAGGACATGACTGCCAGGGCACTAAATAGAGTCAATATGAGAAAATAATTCTAGTAATCAAGTTTCAAAAAAATAATTTTCCAAGTTGGATTTCCAATGCTTTCCTTCTAAATCCAACTAACTTGGAAAATCTAATTGGGGTTTCCAAGATGAGACAGGGTTTCACCATGTCATTAAGATGATAGATCACTATTGGTAAGTGATTCTAGTCAGAAGGAATAAAACAAAATAAATATAATTGCTGTAAAACATTCTTTTCTTCATAATGAACAAGATAGTTTGGCCCTTACAACTCTAAAAACAAAAAAGAGAGAAAACTGATGTTAGACTTTGTCTGATTCTAGCAATAAATAATATTTGTTCATGGAAATCTAATTTTATAAAATGCCCAAGCTTATTAAAAATTACATTTCAACAAAATACTTTTTGTTTATTCAAATTGGGATATTTATGTTTTTTTTGATCAGCTGAACATCAATAATAGTTGTAATGATAAAAAATTCCTGTGTTAACATTCAGAAGATTATGATCACAGGATATGCAAAAAATTTAAATACAGTTGTCTGTTGGTATACACCTGGGATTGGTTCCAGGATCCCCGGTATACCAAAACTCTCTCATATGCAAGTTCTGCAGCCAGTACTGCAGAATCTGCTTACAGTAAAAGTCAGCTTATCCTTGGGTTTCATATCCAGCAACTACTATAGTTCTGAGTCTCGTCTGGTTGCAAAAAAATCTGTGTATGAGTGGACCCACACAATTCAAACCTGTGTTGTTCAAGGGACAATGGTATACACGTTTTTTGTTGCAGGAAAGTATGACATCCAGTAAGACTTATGCCTAAAACCATACTACATAGAATTCTTGTCAGTCAGGGTTTCTGAATAGCACACTATTGACATGCTGAGTGAGTTAATTCTTTGTTCTTGGGGATTGTCTTTTGCAATGCAGGATATTTTGCAGCATCCTTGGCACGTTACCACTAGACACCAGTAGTACCCCACTCCCCAGTTTATGAAGACAAAAATGTCTCCAGACATTGCCAACTGTCCCCTGAGAGGCAACAGTCCCTTGCTGAGAACCACTGCTGTAGAGAATAGAATAAGTAATACAATGGAAAACTTTGACTATCAAAATGGATGTTAGTATTAAACCACTATGGTATTTAATTCCATCTGATACATTTAAAACAGTGATAGTTATTGTAAAATGACATTTTACAATGCACTGGAAATTACATTATTTGCCATTATTTAAAATAATGGCCAAGAACTTTGGATGATCCACTGGTTGAAATCATCCTGCAGTTTACAGGAAAGGTGTGTAATGCACATTAATCTTCACTTGTTTTTTTTTGTTTTTTAGATGGAGTCTCGCTCTGTCACCATGATGGAGTGCAGTGGTGTGATCTCTGCTCACTGCAGCCTCCACCTCCCAGGTTCAAGCAATTTTCCTGCCTCAGCCTCCTGAGTAGCTGGAATTACAGTGTGCGACGCCACGCCTGGCTAATTTTGTAGTTTTATTAGAGATGGGGTTTCACCATGTTGGCCAGGATGGTCTGAATCTCCTAACTTCATGATCTGCCCGTCTCGGCATCCCACAGTGCTGGGATTAGAGGCCTGAGCCACCGTGCCCAGCCCCACTTAGAGATCTTTTACAAACCCTAATATGGAACTTTAGAACACTATATGTTTATCTCATATAGTTCTAAGACTTTTTTTCTTTTGATGAATGTATTAAGCTCTCGAAAACTATCTTTCTTAATAAATGTCTAGTACATTTAACTGAAAAGATCAGAGCTTTTAAACAAATGTCAACTACTTAGATGCAAAGCAAGCATTTTTCAAAATTCAACCTGTGTCGACTATTAACCGTGTTTTATTTCCATGTTTCAAATGATGCCCGTACAATTCCAAGCATGTGGAGGCTGAGAATCGTTTAAGAACTCCAAAGACCTATTCCATACAAAGAAGCAGTACAGGTACCTCCTTAATCCTGTTACTAGTTACCTAAATAGTCTCACTCTGCCCCAGTTCTCTCAGTTTAATCAGTTTAATGGCAACTTATGTAGTACTTTCATTGTTTTAAATCAATTCTACATATTGACTACTATTAATCGAACCAATTTATGAGACAGATAGAAAAGATGTCAGAAAGAAGAAATTTGCAGTTAAGTAATAACTTGCTTTGTTTATAATTCAGTAGCAGCAGCCTCGCAGCTGATCTAAGCAGAGGACTCTAGAACCATCACAACAAACTCCTTTTCATAAGAAAACTTCACTTGAGCTTTTAATTCTATATTGCATGGAGTTTGGGAATACTTGAAAGCAAGTTAAATAAAATTCCCTCCAAAGATGGTATAACGCACTCAGCAGAAGAAGCCAAACAAGTGTAGTAAGTCAATTTCTACAAAGCTTTGAAGATTATTCCAATTTGTCTTTGTCTTCGATGCAAATCATTACAAAATCACGCCTACTTTAAATTTATTAAATTTCTCAGACTGTTTTTTTCCAAAATCTTAATTCTTATAAGAATTTGTAAGAAATGCCTATTACAAACAAACAATACAGAAAGTATTGTTACTTTTGATAACTTGGTATAGATGTTTATTATTAACTCGCGTAGAGTTGATCTATACATGCCAGTTACCATGGTCTTCTAAAAGCACTGTTCAATCCCCAAAATTAACTCAGTAAGACACAGATGTTTACTAATGTATCAGGAACCACCCGTCCCTCAGGCTAAAAACCTTAGCGCTAAAAGTCAAAAGCATAATAAGGTATCTACTAGCCCTACTGCTAAACAGTCAGGGTCCCCTGAAACTTATATCTAAACACGGTGCTTTCGTGCGGCATCTGCACCTTACTTTTGCAGTCTGGGGTTACTGAGTCAAGGAGACCCTGCAGAGCACCAAGCAGCCCCGGGTCTCCACGGTTACCGCCAAGGCAACGCTTCGAGGCCCGCTCCTCAGGGACTCTCAGGGGCGACGCCAGGAAATCCGCCTCGCGGAGATGAACCGCAGGGCTCCGCGGCCGGGCTGGGACAGCCTGTGGGGAGCAGAGGCGAGCCTGGCAAGCTCTTACCCGATTTTTCGCGGCGCTTGGGGCAGACGTCCTGGCGACATCAGGCCGCGTCATTTCCCCTTCATCCTATTCTCACTTTAACAACGTTGCTTGAGAACTTTTTATCTGTGCCCACTCCGGAAAATTTTAAATGCTTTTACAGATACAACCTCAAAAATGAAGCTCCAACCAGCCCGCCACCACTCACGCTTTTCCCATCTTCTCCGCAGACCCCACCCCCTATCATGAGGCGCGCGAGCCTAGAGGGAACACGAGCCCTCGCCGGGCACTCCTGGGCCTCGCCCCGCCCCCAGGCGCGCACCCAATCCATATAAGGCGAGGAAGGCGGCCGCGCCAGCAGAGAAAGGGCTCCAAAAGACTTCGCGGTTCATTTCTTCTCCTTCCCGCCTTCCTTAAAGGGCCGTTTCCAAAAGGCAGGCACCAGCAAACCGCAACACTCATAAAAGATGACTATAAAGTCTTTCTGCTACCAGAGCCCGGGAGTTCAGGCCTCCACGTCAAGAGGCCGAGCTCCGCCCTCATTGAACCGCCCCCACAACCGCTCCCGCGAGCCCGCGCTTACGCTTTCTGGGCGGTGCGCGACGCGCTCGCTCCGCCCCGCCGGTCTGGCCCCGGCCCCCTTCCCTGTCTCTGGAGAGCCAGCTCGTACGGGCCAGGGCGTGTGGCTCTAGGGCGCGGGTTGCTACTTGTGGGTGTGAGACACCCAGCTACTCTTCCCCTTCCGCGAGTCCCTCCTTTCCTCGCAGACCCCACTCGCCGTGGCTGGCTACCGCCGCAGCTCTCGTTTCCACAGTGCGCGTGCGCGCAGGCACGGGCGCGCGGCCGTCGGGTCCCTGCGTTCCCTCCCCCTCCCTCTCGTCTATAACTTGGCTGGCGAGGAGGAGGCGCCGCCGGAGTCGGAGGGCGGGGAGCTCGGAGGAGGGAGCAGGAGAGTTGTGGAGACTAGTGACTGGGAGAAGTCGAAGCCTGCTCTGGCCGGCGCCTTATCGCTCTCCGTCTCCCTCTCTCACACACCTACTCCGCCCTGCGCCCCAGACCGCTCTCTTGCTCCTTCTCTCGCCTGGGGCTCCTGTCCGTCGCTCTCCGGATCTTGGCGCGGCGGGGGCGCCCCGGGGGTGCCCTCGCCCTCCCGTTGCGGGCGGGCGGGCGGTATGTGGCGCCTGGTGCCCCCGAAGCTGGGCCGCCTGTCCCGCTCGCTGAAGCTGGCGGCGCTGGGCAGCCTGTTGGTGCTGATGGTGCTGCACTCGCCGTCGCTCCTCGCCTCTTGGCAGCGTAACGAGCTGGCCGACCGGCGCTTCCTGCAGCTCAATAAGTGCCCGGCGTGCTTCGGCACGAGTTGGTGCCGCCGCTTCCTCAACGGGCAGGTGGTGTTCGAGGCGTGGGGCCGCTTGCGCCTGCTGGACTTCCTCAACGTGAAGAACGTGTACTTCGCGCAGTACGGGGAGCCCCGCGAGGGCGGCCGCCGCCGAGTGGTGCTCAAGCGCCTCGGCTCGCAGCGCGAGCTGGCGCAGCTCGACCAGAGCATCTGCAAGCGTGCCACCGGCCGGCCGCGCTGCGACCTGCTGCAGGCCATGCCCCGGACCGAGTTCGCGCGCCTCAACGGCGACGTGCGTCTGCTCACGCCCGAGGCGGTGGAGGGCTGGTCGGACCTGGTGCACTGCCCTTCGCAGCGCCTTCTCGACCGCTTGGTGCGCCGCTACGCGGAGACCAAGGACTCTGGCAGCTTCCTGCTCCGCAACCTCAAGGACTCGGAGCGCATGCAGCTGCTGCTGACCCTGGCCTTCAACCCCGAGCCGCTGGTGCTACAGGTAGGCGCGGAGCCAGGGCGGGGGGCGTCCCGCCGGGAGGGGCCGCGCGTGGGAACCGGAGTCAGGAGAGTGGCCCCGCCCGCCCTTGCTGCCGGTTCCGACCCGACCCGGGCTGGGCCAGGCTGCAGCGTGGGAAGGGGCGGCTCCAGGGGAGCCCCGGGGCTTCGCAGGGAGGCCGAGGGTGATCTGGCCGATGGAGAGTCTGCTTTTGTCACCTAGACTCGGGCTTATCTCGGCTTTGACTGCGGATCCTTCAACGCCAGAGGGAGTGCGTCTCTTAACGCTCCCCAAAATGTCTCTCCAGCGAGTTTCCTTCCGCTCTGCTCCCCGCCTTTCTGCTTTTATCTCCCGGGCCTTGCAGGTCCGCGGCGCAGACTGTTCACGAGCCCTTGGACCTTAGTTCTTCTGAAGTGTTTTACGCCGTGTTCGCTCTTCCTTTTCTGGCGCTAGTAGCTGGCCTAACTTCGGTGTCAGATTCTTTGTTTTCCCTCATTTACCTGGCAGTCATTTGGACAGCTAATTTCGGGGACAGGTTGGGAAGGATAAAGTCGGAGAATGGGACAGTGGTCGGGGTGGCGTTAATGCGTGAGCCGAACTTTGGGTTGGATTAGAATCAAAGAAACAGGAAAAGTAAGGCAGCGTTGGACTTGGGGCAGGGAGGGCTTAAGGCTAGACAGACATTTTCATCCTGATCCTGTGACCTGCCCTATTCATCCGGTAATCTGATTGAAGGGAGATGAAATGTTAGGCCAGGGCGAGTATCAGGGAAGGAGATTCTTGCCTTTTGCCAATTGCGTTATTTGCTCTCGTCTGACTTTATTTTGAAAAGTAATGTGGTTTTAGGGGAATAGGATGAAATCTTCTTACTGGTGACAGCAAAAAGAGAACGAAAAACAAAAACTGTTTACTTTCGGGGTATTTACTTGTTTCTGCACATTCCCACCCGGCTTCAGTGCGGTGTCCTTGGACAGTGATTTACAATTGTGGGGTTGTGATTTCTCCTTCTCTCTGCAGAAAAGTTACCGTGCTCTTTTCCATGACACTTTTGCTGTTATCTCAAATACAGGAGAGAAAAATTAAAGTTCACAAGTAATTTTGGTATACTTCACATTCCTTCTGAGTTACTAAGAATGGCACTGAGAGCTAGAGGGTTTATACAGGGTGGTTTTTTGTTTTTGTTTTTTTTGGATTTTTTTTTAATCTAAAATGCATGAACAGGAAAGTGCATATTTATTTATATTTCTTTTTTCAAGCTCTACACTGTTCATTTTAGCTAAAAGAAACCAACTTAGTTTCATTAGTTTAGCCAAATAATGTAATACAAATATTTTGCCTCAAATGAAACTTTAGTGTGGGTCTTAGTAAATTTTAGGACATCAGAGGCTATGTGTATTGGGTTAATTTTAAAGTCAGAGTGTATATTAAATACTGCTGTATCTCCTAACTAAATGGATGCATAAAACTGGTTAAACTTACCTTGAAGAAATTTGCTTAATTCAGTAGTTCCCAAACTAGTCAATGTCTAAAGTTTAGCCTGTATTTATTATGTACATACACTTGAACTGAAGTTTCTCATTAAGCTATCTTTTCAAGAAAAAATGTCTTGTTTATATTAGCAAGGTTGGTTCATGGAGATTGTGTTAGCAGTTTGCTGAAGTAGATACCCTGACAAATTCTCTAAGACTCAGAAAGTTAGTAAAGAGCTATCTTAGTAATATACATTTATTGTACTTAAAATGCAGGCGTTCGTACTGAAAGATTTTTTTATTAGGTAATTTTGAATAGTCATGTGTTAGTAACAACTAATATTAGAATCGATATTTTCAGAACATTATGTAGCCAGTTCTTTATAAATGTAGTCATAGCATCTGAATTTGATAAACTTTGACATTTGATTTACACTAAGGTAAATTTGTGCTTTGTACAGAAAGGTTTTATATTTTTTTAAGTTTGAAGTTCTCTTGGCATCCTTAGTTTGCTTTGTAGTTGAGATAGTCAAGTGTGCTTGTATCTTGTTTTCTGTTTAACTTTTTCCTCAAACTTACCCTTATCTGTTCTCATTTTTAGTGATGAAACAGCTTTTTTTGAAAAAGCACCATTATTTTCTTATATATTACACATGATGACACAATTTCTCTGAGTGGGTAAATAGATGGGTCACAGGATAAGAATTTGTTTTTAGTATGTGATGAAACATGTCTCCACGTTTTAGAGTATAAGATTTGTAAATTACATTTTTAATTTACACAACCCAGTTCCCAGGAATAGTACTAATACTAATATATGTATCATAATTTAGCTAATTACATACTGTGAAATATAATTTCACAGTATGTAAATAGTACCACTCAGTCTGATAGGCTGACTGGTACTATTTTTAAAACCTGATTAACAAGCAAGTAGAGTAAGAAGATATTTTTAAGAGTCTTCATATAGCTGCTGCTTGCTTTGTAGAATCACTTGATCTTTGGTAAAAGCTAGTAAGTTTGAAAGTCTGAACAATATACTTGAGGACTGATGATTGTATACACCCACCAAAATGAAAGGAATCTCAGCATTTTGTGATCAGGTAAAAAGGTTGCTGTGTAGTAAGTCAAATAATGATGCTCATTACTTCTGTTAGCTAGGAAATTGCGTTTTTGGTATTTATACATGTTTCTATAAAACTGTTTATAGCTGTTTACAGTAGTACTGGGATACTGATACTTATAGAAAAACTCAGATTTGAGTTTTTTTTTTTTTTTTTTTTGCTTCATGTCTTTAAAAAAATATTTTTAATTGTACTAATGTTTTACAGCTTGAAGAGAAACTCACTTTTATTTTTCCTCCAGGAGGGGGAGCTACTTGTCGAATTTTTGGACAGCTGGTGGCAAACTAGATTTTTCTTATATTGTTGTCCAAAAACTAACAACTTTAGGGGGAAAGAAAGTCTTTGAACTGACGTCATCAAAGTATTCTTAACAAAACTTCCAGTATAGTAAACATGCTTCAAATTAAGCATGTAAAAATTTCTTTCGATAAGATACTTAAGAAAGAACTGAAAAATACATAGGCATTTAATCCGTTAAACTCACCTCTTCTGATTTGAAAAAACAGTAAAAAATTGAAGTTGCTATTTATGCCTTGAAAGGAGAAGTGAAAGGTATTAAATGTAACATGTATACACACATACCTTATCTATTTAAAGCTACATAGATTTATAATATAAATTTCCCCATATGAAAAGGCATGAGAGTACAACTTTCTTCCTATTGTTGGATAGTTTCACTAGTTTACAGCAGTTTACCATAGAATTATTGTCTTCTAAAAAATATTTGTATACATCAAGCAACAAGATAATGCGTGCAGTACTTTTACCTTCTACTCTGATAGCCTCTTTTCATCTTCACATTTTTACTGCACTAAGAGGTGTATTTTGGTGCCAATTATGCTGAAATCCTATGGAAAAAAATTGGAGGCAAGGAGCTATGTTGATTTTTATATCATGTAACAGGAATCTTGAAGTATTTAAAAATTGAGATATTGATGTAACTGGCAAGATGACAAGTTATAATTAGTAAATTTTCTATCAGTATTTGTATTTAATCTATTGAATTTACAGAGAGAGAGAGAGTGTGTGTGTGTGTGTGTGTGTGTGTGTGAGAGAGAGAGAGAGAGAGAGGGAGAGAGAATGGGAGAGAGAGAGGAGAGAGAGAGAGAAAGAAAGGCTGTCTGGATTTCTTGAAGTTCAGACAGAGTCTCTAACTTTATAACCTGGAAGTAGTGAAGATGGTCTTGTTTGTAGGAAATGAAGAAAGCTCTTTGTTGTTTAGGGGGAAATTTTACTATTTGTGGAACTTTATTTGCCTTAAATTTTCCAAATCATGGTTTTAATAGGATTTACTTTATTGTTAATGGCATATGACTATCATTAAGCTTTGGCTCTTAAGCTTGCTTTTCTATTCTTGTAAATGATATAATACGTGCAAAGCACATCACATAGTGTCTGATAAATTATAAGCATTCAATAATGTTAGATACTGAATAAAGGTAACTTACTGCCTGCCTGGTGCTTGATCAGCTGTTTTGAAGCTTGTTTCGGGTATGGATCACCTTAAAACTTATGGTGATTTCAAGTATCGACCATACTTTATTATACTGATTTTTTTTCCCCATTACTTTGAGATAATTTTTTTTTAGAAAACTTACAGTGAATGTTGTTTTTGCCTTTAAAAGCAATTTATGTAGGGAACAACATGTTTTTTAAGTTCACTAGTGAAAATACAGTTTTTGAAGTAAATAAAAGATTATGACTGTTTATCTAATGGTATGTTAGAAACTTTGATAGATTTTTACTATTAGACACACTTCCCTCTTTATAGAATGAGGCTATTGGATTAGATTCTTCTCAGTGCCAAACCTTCCGGGGTTTCCAAACTCTTGACTTGAGAAATCTGAGTTTTTTGTTTTTGTTGTTGTTTTCTTTTGAACTTGACTTTAATGGGTGGGTTTAATTAAGCTTTTATGAAAGAAGATTGGGAGTTGGATGCTCTCTTTCAAGCCTTTTTTCCTACCCCCAAATTTTTACACACATGAAATCAGATTAAAACAAAACAAAAAGCAAAAACTTCTTTTCAGGGGGATTATGTAGAGTTAAGGGTAGCCAAGGATCTTGTGAGGCAATAGTGTGCAAAAGGATGTTCCACACTGTGTCTCGAGAGTTTCTTTTCAAACAACAACTTAGGGAACCACCTACTTCTCTTTCACTGGCTGTTGCTTTAGTAACTGCCTTCCTAGATTTTGGCTTCATAACACATTAGAGATGGTTCTTAGTAGAGCAGTTTTTAATCTAATAATAATTTTTTAAGTTTTTGAACTTTTTTGTGGCTTTTCATCTGAAAGTCCATTGACACTTTTGACATTTGAACGCCCTTCAAGATAATCAAACAAAAATAATACAAGAATTTTGTGTACCTCAAGTCCAAAAAGTGAGTGGGGACTTTTATTTTAGAGAGACCCTA